GAGGGGCCTAGAAGGGGTCCAGTGTGAAAAGGGGAGTAGCAAGGAAAGCAAGGAGAAAGAGAAATAACATCAAGGCTTGAAATTGAGAGCAAACAAAGCTTGATTTGGTGTAATATTAATAGAAGGCTATTGAAGAGAATTAAGAAGGGTGATCATGATGATCTTACTCTGTGTAATGGGGAGGTATGAGGAATCTGAAAGTGTGTTATTGAAGTGGGGGGAACAATAAATTACTGCTTGGTTGAGTCTTTAAACTGTGCAGCAATTTAAATTAAGCATTTACAGAGTAACATTACAAAGTGCGTGGAATATCTTTGTTCAGGGGTCTCTCATGATGAGCTACTTGACCTAGCAAAATGCCACTTCGGTAACTTGCCATCTGCTCCAGAAGGAGGACTATCACCCCTGCCACCTTGTAGCTTCACAGGTAGTGAGGTAAGCTTTAGATGGCTTTTTGAGCTGTCCCTTATATCCCCTGTGAGCAGAAGTGACACGTGCTCTCTGCTGAGGAGAGAGACCTCGGTCACAGACTCAGCAGATTAAAAGGTTTCTTGCCCCCAGTGAGGGCAATGGAGTAGCTGCTTTCCAAAGCAGTACTTTCCAACCTTTCTTGGACAAGCCTCACTGCCACCGCTTTTTCTGCTTCATCAGTTCCTGGAGGAATACCTCCCTTACCCCTGCTGCTACTTTCCTTTTATCCTCTTGCCTAGGGTGTTTCCACTTATTGCGAGTCGCTAATTTAAAGGGTATTGCAGAGAACTGAGGCATCTGCGTTCTGTTCCCAGCTGTGTTGGAATTTTGAAAAGTCACCAGCTTTTCTTGCTGCTGTTTGTCATAAAGTGACATGTAATGCCCTCTCTCTGTATGTAGTTAGGCTTGCTGTTGGCAAAGTGCTCTGAAATTGCCACAGGGAAGGCTAGTTAAGGCTGATGTTAAATAAAGTTTCATGTGCTTTAATTTCTGGTTCTTTGTGTGCATGCTTTATAATCCAGATGTAATGGAAATATCTGTCTCCCGATATTTAACTTCCCATATACGTTAGCATGTACAGGTTGTACTGCAGGTACTTTCATATGTTCTTACAGATCCGTATAAGAGATGACAAGATGCCCTTGGCGCACATTGCGATAGCTGTAGAAGCAGCTGGCTGGTCGCACCCAGATACAATCCCACTTATGGTAGCGAATACTCTGATAGGTAACTGGGATCGTTCCTTTGGAGGAGGCGTGGTGAGTGAACCTGCAGGCAGCTTTCCGCTCTGAATGAGGCTGGTGGGCTGGTGAGATCTCTCTGACTTGGGTGCTGCCAGTACGACCCATTCAGACCTATCTGATGGCATTACTGCTACTTTATGGCTGTTTCTGAAAGTCCTTTTTTGGACCGGGAGAAGGGGATCCAGTCATGAGTCTGAGAGAATTTGTTGCCCAAGATCTAGGAAAAAATCTTAAGAAGTAGTTCTAAACCACCAAAATAGAGGTGACTTGACGTCTCCCAGCCCTTGTGGAAAGTAAGATGTTTCCTGCCTGTATGTCATCAGAACCTGTGGGTATCAGTAACTGTCCCTTTCTTGAACCTAAGTAGCTTTATGATTTGGGCTTAAATCTGGGCTGTTACTTGGAAACCTGAGATTACGTGCAAGGAAAAAAACTGCTGAGATGAAGAGCTGATAATTAACCTCAGTAGCTTCTGCTGGAGCCTGTGATACTACTGTGTATTCTGTCATTGAAATGAAAACAGGAGACCATGGAGGTGACTAATATGCTTTCCAAACACTTCATAAAATAATATATTTTTCCTTTTGCCTCAGCAGAATTTATCCAGTAAGCTTGCTCAGATTGCCTGCCATGGTAACTTATGTCACAGCTTCCAGTCCTTCAACACCTGCTACACTGATACAGGGCTGTGGGGACTCTATATGGTCTGTGAGCCATCCACTATACAGGACATGGTGCACTTTGTTCAGAGAGAATGGTAAGCTAACAACGCTTTCTCTAAAAAATTGTTTTCAGTGGAGGAATACAATTTAAAAAAATAGCAATAATTTAAAAAGAATATTTTTGTTTCTCTGCTTAGGCTTGCCTGGAAAAAACAAATGCATCAAGTTCTAAACTTTGGCACTCAATTCAGAGTCCCAACAGCCAGTTTCTGGCACCCTTACTTGGAATAATAGCTTAAGGTTTAGGTCTGGCTTCCTTTTTCTGCCCTGGAAGAATAAACAGTAACGGTAGTTAATGTAATGGCATTTCTTGTAGAAGAAAATATGGCAGTGATTTTTTTTTTTTTTTTTGACTTGCAAGTGACAGGAGTTATGAAAATGCGTCAAACCCTTTCGACTACTACTAAGTCAGTATACAGTGCCCATGAACTACATGTTTAACAACTGAGAGTAAATATTTATGAATGAGAATAAAGAATGTGCAATTACCTACAAACACCATTAGCAGTTAAACATTCTGCAGTTGCTATCCCACATGACGTACCAGGTGGTGGTGTTACATAGAACTCTAGTGAGTACATGGGGAAATGAAATGATGTCAGGTAGGTGAGCTGTTATATATGGAATTTTGAAACCTGGTATTCTAGATAATATTTGTTCATCTAAGGCTTAAATCTAAATTGAAAAGGTATCCATAGGTGCAACTGTAATGCTTGACCTCCAGATGTGATTAGAAACAGACATGTTATTCAGAGCACTGATTTGAAGTGGGTGAAGTTGAAACAAAAGTTGAAAATAAGTTTAATTATGTAGCTCACTTCTCATATACCATTATTCTATGAGGTGTCTGTAAACAACTTGTGGAGAAAAGTGGCATCATTTTAGCTGTTTGCTGCAGCTTAGCACCAGGGATGTTATGAACCATTCCTGTGACAAGAACATGTTAAGGTATCTATCTCATGCATCCCCCTGTCCTAGTGAAACGTTCCTTATGCAGTGTGGTGTGTCATTATCTCACCAAGAGCCAGGAAGTAATGGGTTGCCTTCTGGGCTAATTACCTCTAATTGTTTGGCTGCTACTATCTTAGTTATTCTCAAGATAGCAAGCATGGACTACACTTGGCTGAAAATACTCATTTAATAAAAGGAAGCACAGCTCTTCTAAGGGCAAAACCTTGCTCTTGGGAATATTGGTATGCCTCCAAAAAAACCCCCCTCTTTCGCTGCTGCTTTGCATTCTATGGCTTGTTTCCATACCAAATTCTTTTACCATTTCTCTCTATAGAAAAGACATGCCTGGTAGGTGTACTAATATATATGCACCTCATTGCCTGTGGCAATCCTGTGTGTTACAGGCTACCATTATTTAAAGCCTTTTGGATTTAAACTATTTTTCAGGATAAGACTTTGCACAAGTGTTGCAGAAAATGAAGTAGCTCGAGCAAAAAATCTTCTGAAGACAAATATGCTGCTACAACTTGATGGTGAGACTTAGGAGAGCTTTTTATTCTTCATGGTGTTGTATGCTGATAACTGAAGCATATTTTCCCCTATTTTAGGGTCCACACCAATCTGTGAAGACATTGGAAGACAAATGCTGTGTTATAAGCGCCGAATCCCAATTCCAGAACTTGAGGCAAGAATTGAAGTAAGCAGCACTCATCTTGGTAACTTTTAAATTAGGCCCTTAAAGAAATTTAATTGCTACAGGAAGTAACAGCACAGAAGTTAGACTGTTTCCAATAGAGAAAGTTTTCAACTCTTTTGTTGCCTGTTCCCCTGGATTATGCAAGATTAGAATCACTGGCTCTTGCTGCTGTTTTAGATAGATGGACTTGGTAACAAGGATGTCTCTTTACCCCTTTTAGGCTATTGATGCCCAGACTATTAGAGAAGTTTGCACAAAGTACATCTATGATAAGCATCCTGCAGTTGCTGCCGTGGGTATGTTATTTTCCCTACCCTCCCATAACCCCTTCGCACCAATCAGGATCAGTTTAGCATGTGTCATGGCCAACTTTCTTTAACTTCCAGGTCCAATTGAACAACTTCCAGAGTACAACAAAATCTGCAGTGGCATGTATTGGCTTCGTGAATAGTGAATAACAAGAACTTTCAGTATGTGTGAGCTTTTAAAAAAAAAAAAAAACAAACCCAAAACACAACTATACCCCTGCTTAAAGCTTTAGAGTTGGAGAAATGCATTTGAGAAGATTAAAACTCAAGAATCAGCCAGGCCTCTGTATCTGTATAATTAAGGAAAGAATGAAACCATGTACAGTATTTGCATTTTTATTATAAAACAGAGATTGTCAGTAAGAGTCATTTCTTGACTTTAGTAGCATTCATCACTTGTTCTTGAGCAGCTTTCTTCGCCTTGACCATTTCAACGAGTTCCTGGAGAGTTGGGGAAAAAAAAGAGAGACACATCTAAATGTGGAACTTGTTAACAATGCTGTGGTTTCTGAACACTACATATATTCACAGCCTGAAATACTCTACCTTTCAACATAGTGAGGAATCTAGACACTTTAATACCTTAAAACAGTTTCTCTTAGAAACAAATAAATTAATGGAAAGTTAATGCTCCTCTACTTCCCCTGTAGCAGGAACTTTACCTACAAGAGGCTAGGGATAGGACCTTGCCCCCTGCAACAGCTTGCTGTCAAATTTTAAGACAGATTTCATGAGACAGACTTTTCTTCCCAGCTTCCAGAACCGTGACTTTCACTGAGGAAAACTTATCCCTGATTGCTCTTTTGGGGTTGAGTTACCAAAAAAAATCCCCAACCAAAAAACCCAGTTTCTCCATAAGGCTTCATCTTGTGCTCATTTGCTGCTGTTGTTGCTGGTAGGGAAAACAACACTAAAAGCAAAGGATTCTAACAAGACCTGGGCTAACTACAGTCCTAGAAGGAGGTGAGGCACCTTACCTTGTATCGCTTCATGCAGTCTTTTTTTGACCGGCCTGGAACAGCTGCTGCGATTTTCTCCCATCTTTCAGCAGTATTTACTGGATAAGTCTTCAATGCTTGTTCCAAAAGCTTTTGTTCTTCTGTAGTCCAAGGGGATGAATCTAAAGGTGATCCTGTTTTAAATGCAAAAATGACAGTAAGAAAAAAAATACTTAATAAGGAATCTATGAGATAAGCTGTAGGATTATCCTGTATCTCAGGCACATCCCCCTCCAGGCCTACTCTTGCCTGAAAGTGTAGCACCCTTGGAGGAACGGATGATCTCAGCATCAGACTTAACCTGTTGCCTCACTGGGAAGCATTTCAAATTGTCACTATATACTTAACTGTGGCTTGTACTGTGTGCACCAGAAACCCTCAAATCCAGTGACAGAGCCTGCATCACTTTTGTACTTGCTACAGAAGTTTGTAACTTTGTTCATAAGCAAGTTGTAAGTAAGTTCTGGATTGCTTTCTTACTAAGATGCACAGGGAAGACAACTCTGCAAGAAGGGCTCCCTTTTCACCTTTACCTTCAAATCGTTCTGAGGGGGCAGCACTGTCCATCTGAGGCACCACACCATGTTCTTTTTTAAATTTGTCAAATGCTTTCTTGTTTATATCATCTTTTTGATGAGGGTCTATGAGCAACAGACATTAAATAGAATAATTATTGCAACAAAATTACAGCCAGATATAATAATAAAAACATTGTCTAGCAGACTATTGTAAACTAATAATCACATCAAAAAAACAAATTCTTACTTCCTTTAAAATCATGGTAAAGAGGCTGGCAGATTAAAATCATCTTTCAGGGTCCAGTAAACTGTGCTCAAAGTGCCTGTCTCTCCAACATCTATCCTGCTTTATACTGCTCAGTTGAATCCTTTCTCTGTATAAGCTTAAGCCTGGATCTCCAACTTCATTGAAATCAAGAGGGATTACTCTCTTAAGTTAAGGGCTGTGGCACAAAGCTCGCGTATTACCCAGAGCACACCCAAGCATGTCAGAGGGGCCGGAACACTAGGAAGGTCTGGGTCCTCCTTGTGCAGGTAAGTGGTTTGGAATGGAGAGACTTCTCGAAAACTTTAGTTTTTTTTCTTCTGTAGCAGAATGTTTTGATTTTCCTTGGGAACTTACTCCAGACCTCTCTAGGCTCCATTTACCACAAGAGGAGATGAGCAACATTAAGTTAGGTGTCTTACTCTGGTGCTGAATCCCATTCATCTTTTTAAAGTATCGCTATAGCTTCATCAATTCCATTTAATCTAGATGCTTTCTCAGAGGCACATCTGTCTCTGAGTGTAGAGGCAATGCATGTAGCCTAGACATCTGTGCATCATTAGATTCAGAGAATTCCTATGAGTCACTGATGAGGTGGTGACTTACACAATAGCCATTAGGCTGAAAATACTGAATGACATAAATGCTCCTCTAAATCTTCCCTCTAAACTACATTTCTTTTGGGGATATACAGAGGATTTTCTCATAATAGAAAGACAATACTTTTCAAAGAAAAATCAAGCTGTATAGAAGCATGCAGGCCATCTTATTACAAAGATAAGGCCATGTAGATACCAAGCTTTTGGAGGCTCTTTGCTTTATTGATGACATCTTTTGCTGTTCTTTTTATTCCAGTAGTAGAGTGCAAGTTCATGTAATTGGCAATAACTTCCCACCTAAAGCAAAAATAGAAAGGGTAAACCAACGTATTACATAATAGCTTATCTTCATACAAGCCACAGTCAAGCTCCTGTACACATTTATATCAACTCGTAAGTAAGTTTAATCATACTTAAATACATATAAACTGTCACGGTAACTATTCTGGAAAGCTTTCAGTCACTAAATGCACGTTTCCCTTAAGAATTCAGTCAGCTTGGTGAACTTCTTAGCTTCCAATACAGAAAAAGGATGGAGTAGGATATAAGTGTGTAAGTGCAAACCTCTAATCCTCAAAAGTCTGCTCAGCTGTTGCTTTCCTGAATTCCCTAAACACCTCTGACATTAAATACTGCAGGCTGCACTGAAAGGGCTGAGAAGTTACTAACCCTGGGTCCCCAGCTCCCCAAAAGAATACCTAAACATGAGATAAAGGGGCTTCAACAGGAGAGAGCTGGAATGGCCCTAGCCCCAGAATTATTCTTTGTGCATTCGTAGAAAATGGAAGGGAATATCTGCACCTGATCAGACAGGAGGATTGTATCTAGGCCTGTGTTCTCAATGAGTACTCTTGACTGCTGAGCTGCAGTGCAGGAACAGGTACTGGTATTGTCTCCACAAAGAGTAATGACAGCTTGTGTTTTTTTAAAAGTAAGCTTCCAAATCTGGTAATGGAGGCTTTGAATCTGTGAATCCTAAGTGAAGACGGCATTTCACTCCTGGGAAAGAACTGTATTTAAAGCATGCTCCTGTTCTTGATGCTTATTGGTAAGCTGATTGCCAGTGCTCCTTTCTGTGAATCCCAGCCTCTCCCTTTGCCCCTGGCTCTCCCCTAAAGAGAGCTTAATTAATCTCTCTGGATGTTTTCCTCCTACCGCGTAGAGGAAAAAAACAGCCTTACATTCATTGTAGCTTACACACTTGTATTCCTACCCAGCTGCATCATGGTCACTGTTCCTGGTTCTGTTCTCTGCTTTAATGACTGGAGCCTATCCCATAGTAAGGATGTCCCTGTGCAGACGTGCACCTCGGCACAATCTTATTGATGGACTGAGGCCCAAGTCTGAGGGGAAATAAGATATAGGGCCAGAGCTAACTCCAGTGACACGTAGAGCATAGTACTAAGAGAAGACAAACCACAGGCTGCTTACAAAAGAAAAGGAGGAAGTTTAGGGAGTCCTTATACTGACATCACACTTAGGGTGGTCTGAAAATATTATGCTTGTTATTTAATTAAAAAGTGTTAGTAGGGCCTTTAACACCAAACCCAAGCAGTACCTTGAGTTAGTCCCTGCTGGGAAGAGGTTCACAGCTTTAATTAACAACTGTAAATCATCTTCTGGCCAATTTTTGCTTCCCCCTCCACCACCAGTGGTTGACTTCTCTGAACTCTTTGTTGCTTGGCGCAGACGAGCTTCTGCCTCTTCTTTCTCTTGCCTTATTTGTTCATTGATTTCTTCTATCTGAAGGATTGTAAACAAGCATTATTTATTTATTTATTTTTACATTTTACAGTGACACAAACCCCTCTCTCTCTGGACTTTGAGCCTTGAATTTTGCTTAGTTTCTGTTCTGTACATTATACATAAGGAAATGGAGGCGCTTATCTGCTCCAGTATTATTTCCCCCCATCCCATGCGTAAATTTGGCCATACCAGATTATAGCAGGAATCCATTACAAGTTCACTAGAAAAATTCAGTGAACTCCCAGGATAAAGGCAAAATTCTGAATCTAGCATGAATGTGCAGACTAACATCTGGCTTACAGGGACAGATCCACAAAAGTATTAAGAACCTAAAGTGGCTACTGAAGGCAGTTTAACATCCATGTTGAATACATTTATTTACAAATCTTCCAACCTAACTGCCATCTAAGCCTGGTTATACCAGAAATTCTCAGTTACTATGGTTTTACTAAGTTAGTATTAACTGCAACAACCCAGACTGTAGTTACTGAGTTACTTACTCAGCACTAGATGGCCATGTGTAGTTTGTTACCAAGCGATTCAGTAGAGCTTAACTTATCCAATCGCACATCTTTGTGAATTATAATCACATCCTGAGACCGTGGTGTGACATATCTTTAACGTATCGGTTTCTGAGTATGCCCAGTCCAGTCTTGCCAATATTAAAAAAGCTATGCACTTATGCCTGTTGGCAGAATGCTCAGAACGATTTTCTCACTGTCTATCTCATAATAAAATCTTCCTGGCAAAAGGGAAGTTATCCAATAGATAACTTTTATTAATGCAAAAGTGGAACAGTTTTAACAGAGAGACAGAAAGGTGAGTGTCCCACGTTTGGAACATTCTGGAGATGGGATGATTGGATTCAGTCCCATGTAGAACAAGAGGGATCTGACTCTTAAGTTGTCTGATGAGAAAACCTCACCCTGAGATGGGGACAGATCATCTTTCCCACCAGGAAAGAAAGTTCACAGCTGTGAATCCAAAGCAGATGAGCAAAAGCACCTTATTCTTTCTGCAGGATGTGGGTTCAGCCTTATTAGTCCATATGGCTTTTCCCTGCTGCCAAATTAAGGCAGATCCTTGCTGAGTTTTGTAAATCTCAATCACAAGTGTCTTGCTTTTCCCATACTTTGGTATCCAGCCCACTGGCCCTTCCAGTGGCTACAGCCTGCAGCACTTAGGTCTTTTTGTGGATCTAGCCCCAGGTCACAGACACCAGACTAAGATTTTTCTTGGATAACAGAATAGGTTAAGACTGCCCTCCTTCCTCTCTAGGTAATTGCTACCCATTGTTGGGCAAATTAAATTCCTCTGCTGTTTCTGTATACCATACAAATGGTGGCTTTTGTGTCCTTTACTAATGAAAAATGCGTATTTTTTTTCTCAGCTGGCCCTGGTTATTTCACCAGCCATGAACCGCACTATATAAAATGGAGTGGAAATCAAGTCTGCCTGGGGACGCTGAAACTCAGGTCTTTGTGTTTTAACAGGCAGGATTCCACAGCAGCTATGTTGTATCTTACTTTGATTTGGTCGTGTAGATATCACAAATCAAATTATTCTGTTATTTTGATTTGACACTCAGCATAATTACCTGTTTTACTACAGCCGCCTTTCCTCCTTCCCTTGTTGTGGATGTAAGTGCTTCATTCAAGCATTGCAGACTAAAAATAAATTATTAAGTTACAACAGATAGCTAGTAGAAAGGTGGGTATAAAACGAGCATAAATCAGCAGCAGGAAGACTTACCTTGCTAGCTCAAGACGATCACAAAGCTTTTCCACCTCCTCCATCATTTTAACACAATCTGCCTCATTATCAGAAAAGTAATTCCAGTTCTGGAAGCAGAAATACATGTTCTACAAAGTTCTTGAATTTTATTGTCCTGTTCCTTCAGACAAAGGCTTAACACACAGCACTCTTCAGCCACTGCTGTGTTTGGACCTATTTGGTCAGCTTTACTCATAACTCAAAACTGTGTAAGTATGCATTTTAGTGTTTTGCTTTAGTAACCCCACTTTCCATACCCATCTCCAGCCATAAGAACAAGCAAGCATGTGATAGCGTCTGATCTAACAAAAAATAGTAATTTCACTGATAACCTGTATTTCACTATAATAATATTTAAATACCTTGCACGTCGTTCTCAGTTTTTGCCTTTCTTTCTTGATTGCTTTTTTCTGTATCTCTTTTTCCTTTTTTGCTACTAATGCTTGTTGCCTAAATTCTTCTTCCTCCTTTTCTTTTGCTAACCGTGCTGCTTCTAGTTCTGCTTGTCTTTGCTGCAATCAAAAGGAAAGAAACTAACGAAAAACCTCAACAAAGTCACACTGTTATAGGGTCATTCAATATTAATATATGCTGTTTCTCGGTTTGGTGTTTTTTTTTTTCTTTTAATACATCAATACTTTAATGTTTAGTTTTAGAAGAATTTAGAAGAATTAGAGGGAGATGACAAAACATATACCAGTTGGCATTAATTCAAATACTCGCTATGAGTACCCCTAGTTTATAAATCCTGACTTCCTTTATTGTGAAGTTATAAAACTGCATGAAACTTCCCATGTCTGCCCCAAGAGTATAAGCTTAGGAAAATGCACTGGGGTCCAACAATTTCTCCTGCATCATTAACATAACATCTTGCAGTGCTCCAGTATTGTCCTTGGAGTCACCTTCTAGCACCTTACAGTTCCCCTTTCATTCCCAGTACTGTTTTCAGAGCCATCTTTTCCAAACTATTAATATTAATCAAATGCCTTATGTTACCTCAAAAGTGTTTCATACCAATCAACCAGTCACAGACCATGCGCACAAGGCAAGTGGCTGTATCCATTTTATGATAAAGGAAAGTAGGCCACAGAACTTAATGACTGCCTCTAAACCAGAGGCAGCGTATGCAACAACGGAGCGCAATTTTAGAAGGTTTTTTGTTTCAGAACTGTGCTCCTTGTTTTCATCTCATTCTCAAAAGGCTGTCAGTCGTGCACCGCCTGTTGCACAGGGATCAAAAGACAGTGCATCTTTAAACCCCATATAATTCTAACAGTAGCTTTCTGGCACATCTAGAAGCTAAAGCAGTGGACCGGGTGTGAATGAACCAGGGTTTTTCAACCCCAAAAAAGTAGTTAACTTACTTTTTCTTTTGCCTCCTGTTCTTTTCGTTTTGCTTCCACCTTTGCTTTCTTCTCTGCTTCTTTCTTTGCCTTTTCTTCCTCCTTAAATTTCTTTATCCTGGGATCACAGGTGTATGCATTGTCTGGCAGAAGAAAGGATGCATCATGTACAAAAGAAAACCAGGAGATTGCCACTGTTAGTTAACAAATCTCTCTTTAAAAACACACTCACCAACAAGTGTCCTAATTCTGTTCATTTCTTCTTTTTTTCTCAATGCTCTGGCAGCTCTGTTCTGCTTTTCAATCCACCTCCTTTCATCTCGACTGAAAAGGGAAAGCATAGTTAGTCCAGTGCTAATACCCTATAGTTTTTTTTTTTTAAAGTTTCCCCACACAGATGTTCTTCTCTGAGTACTTCAGAAAATGAAGTTCCAAGGCCCCAAGCTCATGTCAAAAATACTAAGTGTTTACTCAATTACATAAACCTTCAAAACACCTGACAAAAGATGCTGCTTGTCTGTCATTGCAGGGAATGAGATCACAGACTTTTATTTTCAAAATGTAATCCACTTGTTGACCTAACATTAAACCCAGGCAAAACTACTGAAATGCTGGTACACAGTTTAATCAAAGGGCAGCAATTTAATCAATGTCAATTATCTTCATTTTACAGAATATAGGTCATGTCAAGTAAACCCATCTGCACAGAAAAGAACACTTTCTATGAACCACCATGAGAGTCTGGTAAAATCATGCCAGATTCACTCCAGTAAAATACAGCTCAGGTTAAATAGATTAAAAATTGGCTAAATAATCTGAAAATGTTTCTCAGTGCTGTCAAGAAAGAGGCAAATTTTTAGTGGGCATCTGTATCCTTATCTACACAACCAAATACAAAGCAATATACATCAGAACAAAGAAAATAATCCCCATAACAGAGTAGGAGATTACTAGAAGTAGATTGGGGGTTTAAAACACAAGCAACATCACCTTTGGCAAGGAGGGATAACAAGATTTGTGACCATCTGAACAGAAGCTGAAATGTAGCTCCCTAAGTACAGCATACTATGTACCATTTGTCTCAACTTTTTAAAAACACACTAATGACGGAAATAAGCACAAAACAGCTATGCAAATAATTCAAGAGCCTTCCAATGAGAAGCCTAGAGATTAATCTGTATAATTTATCAAAAATACAAGTGATACGGAATTGATTACAGTGCGTTCACAAAATCTTCACAGGAGAAGGAACACTGGGTCCGGAGAGGCTCAAAAAATTTAATAGCAAGAAAAGGCGTAAGAGAAGAGGAACGGATGCCTTGCTACAGCCTAAATATGGAACAGTTTTTAGCCACAAAGCAAGCTAACCACTGAATCTAACTACAAAATTGACTTCTACTCAAACTTGGAATAAGAAGTTCATACAATGCAAGTTATGGTTATACGAGGATGACTAAGGGAAAAGTTGCATCCTGTGAAAAACGTGTTAGACTAAATGCTTCGGTGCTCCAGCTTGACCATTCTGTATTAATAACTGTAGGAAGGATAAAAATAGAATGTATTTTCCAATGGCAACGTGGTCTGAGTAATTCAGCAACTATCACTACATCAGCAAATACACAATTTCTATTAACACCAAGCCATCAGAACTAATCTTTCTAAATTCTAGGAAGTATCACTATCTCAGCACAGTTTAATAAAGAACTGGAGAGACAGCTGCTTAGTCATCCACTCTGTTCTGGCCCCAGGTTCAACCTGTGCTTGGGACTTGCTGGAACCGCAAGGCTGAACTTAAATGAGCACACATTTCAAAGCACCTCAAAAACACCTCTGTGATGCAAGCAAGAACTACTTCAACTACACAAATAAGATAAAGAGAAGCCCACAGTCAGTCCAGATCAAGTCCATGACTGACCACTAAGCTGGGGGAGTGGAATTCAGTCTTAGTTTGGCTACCTTTCTTCCTTACAGTCTAACAGAAAGTTGGAAAATCTTGCTCTATCAATCTCTCAGTCTCCTGTCAAATTTCTTTTTACTTACATACCATTCTGCTTTTTCTTTTTCCTCTTCATCTAAATAGGAAAACTCTCTCCAGGAATCAAAATTATACCTAAAGTAAATTAAAAAAAAAAAAAAAAAAAGAAAAAAAAAGAAAAAAAGAGTGAAGGGGGAAAAAAGAAAACAGCAAAACTATTAGAAATAATCTCTTTTTTACTATTAGGTTTTTGTAGACAATTATACTGTTATTTACAATACATAATGTACAATTATACTGCAACTACAATGATTCCATTGTGTTAAGTCAAAATGCAAGACGCTATTACAAGTAATGATTTACATCCATCTGTACTGTAGGACATATTTTAGGATGGGATCAGTCTCACCAACTAAATGTCTACAGTGCAGGTGTCTAAGCTCCCATCAGAGGCAGTGCAGATAACAGTGCAGTCCATAGAGTTCAGAGAGAAATTAATACAATCTTTATATAAGCGTCTGTGTTCGGCAGATGAGCCAGGCCATAAACTCTACTGACTTTATTGGACTAGACAGACCTCCCTTACTAGAGGAGATTAAATACCTAGTAGACACCTCCACAGAAAATGTAAGTTAGGTGAGATGAACCCTACTTCTAGTCTGTGGGTCAACTCTGTTCACAGCCATTGTGGTCAGAGAACTGTCGGAAGCTCCTGCTGTAACTGTGAGTTTACAACGTGCATGTTTCAGCGAGCAGAAAGACAGCTCAGTTTGTGGAAGACAGCAAACAGCTGTGAGGTAATTTTGTGACATTTCTAGGTCAGCACAGACCACAGCCAACAACCTACATACAAAAGGGTCTGCAAGCCCTTTATATTGCATGTCTTGAATACTGTGAATAGAAACTGAGGTATCAGCTAACTTACCAAAACGAATAGAATGCATCCACCTCTTCAAATGATGAGTTCATATCCCCAAGTTTAGGAACATTTTTCTTATTTGACCATCTGAAAATAAATGGATATATTCACAAAATAATATGTATAATCTTACTTCATAACATGGCACATGTTAAGTACAGAATCAAAATACCGAATCAGAGGCTCCCTCCCACCAACACAAAGGAGCACCAGGGAAGAGAAATAGAACAGAAGAGTTCCTTCTAAACATCCTCCAGATTGGGCCTTTTTTGGGAGCTCCCCCAGAAAAGCAAAATCCTCCTGCCTAAGTTTGGTATGCTGACAAGGAGACCTGATGGAGCACAAGCTATTTTTGTAGATATTCAATACTCCACAGACATTCTCCTGGTAGAGAAGCTTACAGAAAGTAAAAAAAAAGTGCTCTGTGAATAAGTCAGCTCTGTGGCAGGCAACAGAAGTTTCCCACATATTCTATCTAATGGAGTACAAAGGAATAACGCATGCTCTGCCTCCATTCCATTTTTTCACTACAAAAAGGGAAATCTTCCATTGGCTCTAGAATTTGTTATTCCATGACATAACATCCATTTCCAAGCAGAGAAAGGAACAATACATCTGACAACCACAGATCCAAGTCTGAATCTCTGGAACACTTCATAAAAGATTCAATGAATCTACTTTAAATAATCAACCGATTGTTCAGAATGTTTTGTAAAGTGCCTCACAGAGTAAAATACTTTTTTCATACAGGTAATAGGTGAAATAGACTTGTATTGTAACAGCCTTAATACAAAATTAACTGCCAAGCATGAATCAAATGCAGAAAAAAAGTCACACACCTTGAGAGAACCACCAAATACTGATATACATTTATCTTCTCTTTTAACCAGCTAAACTGTGAACATAACTATTGTCTTCTGTTAATGTCTCACCCTCATAAGAAAATCATAAAAAAAGGAATTTTTAGTCAGTAGCATACACACACTTGGTATAGTAAATAATTTTAAAATGAAACAATGTGTTGTACAAAAACGACAGTAAGTAATACGGAGCTGAGAACAGCCTTTCTTCTTTTTTTTTATTTTTTAAACCTCATGGGTCAAACTCAATGCCACCAGTGTGACAGTTGAGATTATTTTAAAATTAAATAATAGGGAATGCACTATTTTACTTGTATTCCATTTCTAGCAAATTAACGCATCTCTCATCATCCTTTACAATCATACCTGTTACAAACACAATGCCAGAAGAGTTTGCAAACACTGATTCTCCAGCAACAGCAAAGGCAGTCTGACATAGCTTACCTGGCATTTCTTTCAAAAACTGGTGAAAAAACTTCAAAGAAGTTTTCTTTTGCTTCACTTTTGGAAGGTACAGAGTTATCAAAAGTAGGATCTATGCTGTTAAATGCTCGTCGTTTCACAGGATCAGATAATATTTCATAAGCTGAAAAAGGTTACCAGACATAAAACATGAGACTAAAGTGAGTCTTCCCCACAAGGTTGGGAGTGTTACAGAAAAGGCTCTAAATGTTTCAAAAGATGATATCAGATCTGTGTTGGATCTATCATTCTGTACAGCTTGCTATTAAATTGTTTTAGTGACACCAAATGGCTTTGCTGTCAATTCCTGTTAAACCAAGTAGGAGGAAAATGTTTATGAAAAACACCGCATTTAACCATTACAATGTAACAAACTAGATTATATTTTAAATATTTTTATAGCAGTAAATTCAGTTCAGGAACTGGGAGTATGGGCATGACATCTTCAGGCTTTTATCTTACACCAAATCCTTGCAGTTAAATCGATAAAACAGTCTACTAAGACAGTCGTGGAGTAGAAGCAGTCCCTGAGTTAATATGATGTCAGAACTGGCAAGAACAAGAGCCGTTCATTAGAAATTCTGCAGCTCATGATGAAGTTGTACTGAGACTTGGAAAAAGTATAAAACACCGCGTAACTATGAGCCAAAACACGCATGCACTCCCAGTTTTCCTATTCTTTCAGTACTGCAGTTGGGGAGCATCGCATTATTGAATCTTCTATCCTAGAAATCACACACACTGTAGCTGCAGTAAACTTGTTTTTTCTCAAGGAAGTGTGGAGTTACCTTGTCTGTCAGTTCTACAATGCCCGCTATTTTTCAGTAAGAGTGAAAAGTCAAAGGAATCAAATTAGTGTTGTCATCATTCGTGGGCTTCTCTGACTGCATCCCTGAACAGAGAACACTGCACCATGAAGGTCAGATCTAGAAGGTGATAAGCTGGAGGAGACCTGGGTGCTCTGTGCTTCTGTAAACTGATCTCACTGCACATGTTAATGGAGAGAGGAAGGAATGCAAGGGACTGCCAATGAGCTGCTGCTTGCCAGTCTTCCCGTCCCCTCTGCTAATGCTCTAAATGACCCAAATTATCCTCTATATTGCAAGCTAGGAGCTTCAATAACGCTCATACCATTTTTCCGATGCAAGAAATTCTGTGTACATCCATTGGTTCCTCTTCCACTTAAGAGATGTCCCTTCCATACAGATCCCCAATGCTACTCCCGCATACTCAGTTCCCCTGGCACTTGTGTCTTCCACTCATTCCTTTGTCAGACCCAGCTCTGAATCCCACTTTTGTACTCCTGCCTTGCCAAGTTTCTTCTCTCTGTTCCATTACCACTTGCTCCTACTCCAGATCCCCCCTCCCTACTGCTGCATTTCCTTCCTCCAGGGTGCTGCCTGGAAGCATTACTCCTCTTCCACGACACTTTGTGCTTTCCTTTTGGTTTATTCTTAAACTTAAGGGGAAACATATTTTGCTCCTTGCATGTACAACACAGGGCATATTCCTGAATTTAGGTGCAGACATTTTAACTAGTATTGTAAGACGACAGAAGAAGAAAGTTCAGAACACACAGATTCCAAGATTTCCTCCCGCCTCAACCTCATTGAGTCAAAAATATTTGTTTAAAATAAACAGAAAAGCCAAACTCCAAAGCATTTCTAGAGACACAAGTCATACACCTAGAACACTCCCTAAGGTTTTGGAATCAGCCAGCAGTGGTGTTCTAGGTCACTACAGGCAAGAAGGGAAATGTTAATCAAGTTCACTTGGTCATCTGTGGGCAAAAAGACCAGCTGAAGAAACGGATATCCTAATTCAAATCAACAGATACTCTAGTGGCAGGGTAAGCACATTACAATTCCAATTTTCTCATTGCTGTTGGTGTCTTAGGGGAATTACTTGATAGGACAGTTTATCCCCAGTACGTGGCTACCTCTAGTGGTCCATCTTTGCATATGCTGCTGCAAGTGTTCACATTTTGTCACCGTTATGGCAGACAAACATCCATCAGCTGCATTCCCATACTGCTCCTACTCAGAGGGAAGTTATGTTAATGTGACCTGTATTTACTGAGGCAGTTTTCTAAAATGGAAGAACTTCTTCTCTGGCTTTTCAGTGATTGACAATTCTTTAAAAAGCACTACAAATATGGTTCAGATTATCAAGTAGACTGAGAGTATATCTAATAAAAGAGATCAAATGCTTACCTTTAGTTATGCATGTAAAATAATCATTATCACCTTCTCCTATCTGTTCCCCTGCAGCTTTTCGCTTGTCTGGGTGATGTTTCAAAACCATGGATTTATCTAGCAAATAGATGGATTAGGTTTAGAAATGCTTCATTATCAACAATTTATTTCGCACAAACTACAAAGTAATACAGTAATTCCAATTGACATTTGTCTAATTAAATACTTAAAAAATAATAGTAAAAAAACAAACCCCAAAACACATCGTGAAGAAAACAGGTATGAGTTAATGAAGTTTCTTTGATTTAACAGAATTAAAATTATTTCATCTTTGCTGGGACACGAAATAACTGCAACTTAGAAACTATTCCACTTTCATCAGCTGAAGAAGTAATGATTTTCTGGGACTATTCTAATATTATGCATAGCGAAGTGCTTCAGTAACTGTAAGTGTACAGTTTAAGCATAATGCAGTTTTAGGACCTTAATTGTGCAAAACTGTACAAGTCCCTGTGCAATCATACTGAAAAAATAAAGAATAATGTAATTTTAGTTGTTATTTCTAATGAAAAGCAAAGTAGTTCAGATAAAATATAAATTGTATTCTATCCCTTTACTCAAGTTCTGAACATAATCCAGGATGAAATTTAGCAAGGAAACTACTGCCATAAGCCTGTGAAGACCACTGCACTTACCCATGGATAACATTAAGCACACACACAAGACTCTCAAGTTCTTTCTCTACTTAGGCCTTAAATCCCAAGACATAACTAGCACACACAGAGTATCTACTAAAGTTGCTACCGAGGTTGTTGTATTGGGTTTACGTGTCAAGGTTTTGGCAGCTGGGGGGCTGCAGGGG